GGTTAGTAAAGGGTTCAGGGCAGCAGGGTCAGGACACTGGGCTGAAGGGAAGAAGAGAAATGGAAGATTGCCTGATCCAAATCTTGGTTCCGTTTAGAGTATAATACTTTCCACAGGGGCTGGGTACAGCTGAGCTTCGGATGGAGGCTGCATCAGACCCGCTCGAGGGCTCCGTTAGGCAGAAAGCCGCCACAGCCTCCCCTGTGGGGAGAGACTTGGTTCACTTTGACCACCAAAGTCGTGGCCCCTCGCACCCCCAGGCGGTTCCTTGTAACACCATGAGCAGTATTGTACTCCTTACCCCTGGGTCTCTTAAGGTTGCCTTACCAGATGCCACTCTGGGGAGGTATTTTTCTTTCTGGGCCTTTGTGCCATAGAGCAAGATGCCTTTGAAACCGATGCTCTGATGAGCTCCCAGGGTAACGCTAACACCAAGGTCATGCATGCCCACAATCTCTGCCAATCTAGCATACTGGAGGGAAAGGAAGCATCTGGGATTGTAGCTGGCTGCACTGAACTTGTCCTCAACAAAGAATGGGCAACAGGGTGGAGCCTGGTCTGGGCCATCTCTACTCAGAGCATGAGGAGTGAAGTGGAGTCACAAAGGGCACAGGGAGACTGGTGATGTGGCTCACAGGTAGGCTGCTTCCCTAGCATGCATGAGGCCCTGGACTCTTCCTAAGAAGACAGCAGGAGCAGGGACATCAAAGGTCTTAGAGAACTTTTTGTTTTTTTGAGACAGTCTCATGTAGCTTCAGCTAGCCTGAAACTTTTTAGTATTTTTTGGTTGTTTTTCTAGACAGGCTTTCTCTGTGTGGAGCCCTGACTGTCCTGAAACTCCCTCTGTAGACCAGGCTGGCCTTGAACTCAGAGATCCGCCTGCTTTTGCCTCCATTCTGGGATTAAAAGTGTGCACCACTGTGCCCAGCTGCCCTTGAACTTGATGGGAAGGTTGCCTACTGTGTTGCCTCACAGTCCCTAAAGACTTGGGAACCATGGTAGGTCCATGGTCCTAGTGGGCTGCACACAGATCATGGCTCAGGGGAAGATGTGCACACAGCTGAGAAATAGGGCAGGCAGACAGTACCTCTGGCTACTGGCTTGGCCCTGGTGGTGAGTCTGCCAAAGCTGGAGCACTGAGGGATATTAGTTAACAAGGGGGAGCCTCTCACCTGGGTATTAGTGAGGCCCAAACCACCTAGCTCACTGGGTACTTGCAGACCAAATGCCCCCAGTTCCTTGAGTCCCTGCAAAGTGTCGTCCTCCACCTTTTCCAAGGAGTCATTCTTGGCAGGGTCATTCACTTCCTGGGCAAGGGATAGGATCTCATAATCAGAGGCTCCTTTAAGCTCCTTAACATCTTACCCCAGGAGGGACTGTGCCCTGGTCATTCCTTACCTCAAAGAACCGGGTCATTGGTCCTACCAGTTCTTTGAGAAATTGTGTCTGTTCTTCATTGAGCACTGCATGATGAGAAAGGAGAACAGGCTAGTCAGGCAGGAAGGGTTACCCTGTCCACACTGCCATTGACTTAAGCCTTTACTTACCAGATGGGTATGGGAAGACCTGGTCAGTGTTAAGCTGGCCTTTGAACATCCCCACCGCAAAGGACTTAGATTCCTGGGTAAGGAAGGAAAGATTCTCAGGGAGTGCTTGGGGTGTTCTTATTCCTGGTTAATAATTGTAACCTAATTTCCGGTCACTTACAGCCCTGGCTGGTTTTTCTCTGGTGGAAGCATCAGAGGAGAGGGTTTCTGGCTTGTCCAGAACTGCCTGGAGAAAAAAAAGGGCAGAGCAGTGAGGCTGGAGATGTGTCTTTAAAAGTGTGCACGAGGAAGCGCTAGGTCTAAGAAGTGCGTTCAGTGTCTTTTCCCTTACTTTCTTATTAGGGCACCCTGCCTTGCCCTTTCCCCTACTTTCAGTGACAGCTCTGTCACCAGGTGACTGGGACGAAGAGAGAGACCCCTGTCGGTCGCAGGCTAGTGGGAGCTGGCAACTCCCATTTCTACGTCCCTCTCCCTCACCCGTTGTCACTTACCTGAGTGGCCTCACTGGCATAAAGTCGCTGGGTAGAGGTAGGCCGGGGTTGTCCCTGAAGCACAGTAGATCGCGAGCTGTAAGGAGTCGGGGTTCAGTCCTGCCCTGGTTCCCAGACCCACTGTCCCCTTACTATATACGGACCTTTGGGGCCCCAGCCGCAATAGCTGTCGCCCCACGCTCGGGGTCATCCGGGCCAACTGCATCTCCAAAGCCGCGCTGAAGCCTTGACCACTGACCTCGCGTCTCGCCTGCCTAAAGGTTGTGAGTCTGGGCCCTGACTCATGCTCCACAATGCACTGCGTGATGGGGGCGTGGTCGTGGGCCTCGATGCATGGTGGGAACTGAAGTTCTGGCTTGTACCGGGTCCCTGTATTCTACTTGACCTAGGGTGATCCATCTTCAAGCGATCCGTTTTCTTTCCCAAAGTCTTTAGAGCCGCTGATCTAAAAATCTTATCCACCAAAAAGGGGAAGAGATTAGATGAGAGAAAGGAGAGAGAGTTAAGTGACTACAGCCAGAGGGCTGGAGGTAGACTGGAGGGAAGATTTACTAGCTAAAGTTAAAAGAAAGGTAAGGCAAATGCAGAGACCTGGATTATTCGAGAAATCTCTCCAAATAAAGAGGGGCATGAGATGGCAGACTCAAGCTGGGGTGTACTCTAAGCAAATTCTGAGATCTAGGAGGTTTTGCCAACTCAATACACTTCTAAAAGCACGTAGTAAGAGCCTCTAGTCTCTCATGGACTTTGGGAGATGCTAAATCATGACCACCATGAATTTGAAGCCACATAGACCCTGCTAAAGTAAAGATTCCAAATAAATTAGTCTTCAGAAATGAATACTTTTATATAAAAAATAACTTTAATTATGCATATCTCTGTGTATCTGTATATAAGCATGCACACATGGGTGCAGTGCCTATAGAGACCAGAAGCTGTGGAGTAAAGTTGGGAGTCTCCCAACGTGGTTGCTTTTTTTTTTTTTTTTTTTTTTTTTTTGCTTTTTAAAAATTTTGTTTCATGTATGTGAGTACACTGTAGCTGTCTTCAGACACACCAGAAGAGGGCATTGGATCCGGTGATTGTGAGCCACCTTGTGGTTGTTAGGAATTGAACTTAAGACCTCTGGAAGAGCAGTCAGTGCTCTTAACCTCTGAGCCAACTCTCTAGCCCTGTTTTTAAAAAAGGAGTTACAGTTAGGTGTGCACTGCCATGCATGTGGGCACTGGGAACTGAACACAGGTCCTCTGTCTGAGAGTAGCCCATGCTCTGAATTGCTGAGCCATCCTTTGAGCCTCCTCTAGAAGTTTGTTTCATGCGTGTGTGCACTCGCATAAGCCCTTATCAGAAGACAGCTTCCCAAAGTTCTCTCCACCTTTATTTGGGACCCTGATGTCAGGCTTGGCAACAAAAGTTCCTTTACCCAAGGAACCATGTCACGGCCCTGACCCACTTCAAAATCTGGTCAGGCCTGGGAAGAAAAAGAGCTTAATTCTGAATTACTGGGACTACCTTAGATAAAACCCTCTTTCCCATTCTCAGAAAAGTAGCTAGATTATGCCTGGCTTTTGGGGAGGCACACTATGTGGAGCAAAGTGTCCCTGGTGCCTCAGGCAAGAATGGAACCCTGATCGGCTTGTCTACTAGCTACAACTGCGTAGGGTGAAGGCAGCTCAACTTCAATCTTGGCGGATTAGGGAGATTAAATCGAGAGAAGAGAGATGTCCCAGAGACCAAGAGGTGAAAAACGGGTCTTTGAAGGGGAGATCTGGATCTGTGATGGGGGTCCAGGAGTTCCTTCTCTTCCTGAATCCATGGGGTCCAGAAAGAAAAGACAAAACGGGAAACCTTAGGTGACTAAGTGTGTAAGTGGCTCGATCCTTTGTCACTTGCTTATTTTTTTTAACCAGCTCCCAGGTCAGCTCTCTGGCTGTTGGCCCCCCCATTATTGCGGTGGGCACCTCCCCTCCTCACAGTGCTGCACAGTGACCTGTTCCAGGCCTTGCTGGGTGAGTAATGCCAGTGTTCTGAGGGGCCACAGTGGAAAGGGCTGGCCTGGGATATGAGGTCAACTGTTAAAGGTACTAAGCTGGTTGGAAATCTGCAGAGCATCTGGCCCAGGCTATAGCTTGTGTAGAGTCATCTCGCTGTGCCCCCGGCAGCATCTGTCCTAGCTAGAGGAGCTTCTCTTGACACACAGAGGCCATGGGTTGCAGGGGTGGCCAGAGGGGCCTGGGATTTGGGAGGGTGACTTGATTCTGTTCCTGTGACAGACATACTGGACTATTATGAAGCTTGCATCTCAGAGAGTCAGGTAAGGTGATGATGGTGGGTGCCTGGCTTCCTGACTGCTCGAGCTGACAGGACTGGAGGGACGAGTACATTCTTGCTAATTTTAAACTGAGACTTAGGGGCCTTGGCAACAAGATCCCTAGTACTGACTGAGGAGCTGGGGGCACTGACAGTGCTTTCTGTGGGCAGCCAGCCCTGTACCCATTCTCCTTTCTTCTCCCCTTTCTTGGATTGCCCCAATTTCAGCACCAGAACGTCCAGGTCATAATTAATTACTTTTCAGACTTCTTCCTGTGACTCCTAGGGGAGAACTAGGTCCCCAGGATTCTCTACTGCCAGCCCCTCCTTCATCCCCTTACCCCATGTTGTGGCCTCCCTCCAGCACTCAACCAACCAGGGATGCTCCCATCCCAGCTGTGGGCTTTTTCCCTGTAAGGAGTGAAATCCATCCTCCTTGTCTTTGCTGCCATCACCGAGGTTAGCCGGGTCTCCATGTTTGCTGTAGGGCCTCTCTGCTTGAGCTTCTATCGCCTTTCTCATTATCCGGGTTCCTGCCAGCAGTGAAGGAGTTAACACTGCCAAGGCACCCCCCCATTCTGGCTCCTAGCTCCCTCCCTCCCTCCCCCTGCTTCCTCTCTCCTCCTCTCTCCCCTTCCCTCCTCGGCTCCGCGGCTACATCGGCCGCTGCCATCTCCAACCCCCCCCACCCCACTCCCCCGCCACGGCCCCTAGCCCCTGGCCGTTTGGCAAGACCCCCGCATACCCCGGGGCTTCCCGATATCCAGTTCCCCTCCCCCACCCCAGCTCATGCCCCAGCCCCAGAACTCCGGGGCTGCCAGCCCCCTGTGCCCCTGCCCCTCCTGAGAATCGGGGTGTGCTCCTCAAGCCCCCTCCCCTCCACTGGGGAGCCCCTTTTAGGGTCCCCCCTCCCTTCCACGCTCCCCTACCCTTCTCTTCTCCAACCTTCTCCTTCCCCTCTCACCCCTCCCCCCATCCTGGCCCCCCCTGCAAAAGTGGGGTGCGGAGGGGGGAGGGGTGAGAACCCACCGAGGGGAGGAACAAAACTCCAATGAAGTCAGAGCCCCCTACTCGCCGCCGCGGCCAGGCCCCCCAACATGGACTGTCTCTGTATAGTGACAACCAAGGTAAGCATGACAGGGGAACAGTGGGGAGGGGGAGTAGGGAATGAATGTGTGGAGAAGGGTTAGGTAGGCCTTATGTAGGGCTGCAGGCACTGGAGTGAGAGCATCTGAAGGAAGGTGTATTAGAGGGGTCATGATTTAGTTTTGGGGTTCACATCTCAGAAAACGGTGGATTTGGCCACAGGTGCCTCCTGGAGTGATCATTTTGTACCATCAAGAAATGGAGAATTTGATGTTTGGGGTGGCTTGGTGGGCTTTGGTGTTCACCAGCAATGATTTGAGGGCAATTTATTTAAGGAGAAGCCTGCCTGCCTCACATGGGAGTTCTGCTCATATATGTGGGAAGGTGGGCTATGTGAAGTGTGTTGGGGGAGGGCTGTCTTCCTTCCTGGGCAAAAAAGCTCATTTCGAGATGCTGATCAATTGGGGGGGGTCTCTTGGCATGAGGGTAAAGGTTACTGGTTGTAAGTGTCTGGCTTGTCTGGCGGTGTCAACTAGCAGGTAAGGGTGGACCTTCCTTCAGGTGATAGAACATCTTATGCTAGACATGTTTGGGATGTTCCTGATTTGAGGGAATTGTACATTTAGAGTTTAATTACGTGGAATAGAGTGACCTGAGAGTTGTCAGAGGGCTGAGGCCTGATACAGCCTTACCTGAGAGAACGGACCAGGTGGGATTAGGATTTCGGGTACTCCCATGGGAGCCAGAAGCTGCAACAGCTGAGGTTGCCATCTCCGAGGGGTTTGGGGTAGGAGGCTAGAAAGAAGGTAATTGAGGAGGGGACCAGTGGGTAGTACAAAATTTGGGGGTAGCCCAGTCAGGCGCCCAGGATTCCCATCTCCCACATTTTATCTAGCTCCGGTCCACACACCCCCCCCCCCCCCCCCCCCCCCCCCGCCCCGGGATGTTACCCTGACTCTTGGGAGGACACCTGGATCTCAGTCAGGGTCTCCGAAGACTTGTGAGGTCAAGACGCCACTGGGGTAAAAAGGTGTAGGAAGAGGGCAGGGCTTGTGGAGCTGGGACCCATACAAGGGTTCAAGGGTGTCCCTGTGGTCAGAGCCTGGAAAGAGTGGGAGATCTGGGATGGACGCCCAAGAAGCTTAGGTCGTTTGCTCCCAGACTCTGGGACTGGCAAGCTGGATGCCTGCTGTGTGGAGGGAGGCTTGGGCGGGTGGCAGGCAGCTGGGGGTTGGGGGGTGGGACAGGAAGTGGGGGCCGGGGGAGGCGGGGTCCGGGTGAGTCACAGGCTGGGGAGGGGGTTATATTTAGTGGGAACTGCAGCTTCTTATGGAAGGAAGCTGAGGACACACATGTTCCTTGCCACAAACTCACACATGTGTGTACACATGCATTGTGCACGTGTGGACATGATTAGAGATTGGGAACTGAAGACTTTAGGTCCGTATCCCTCACTTCATCTACAGGGCTGCTGTTTTTCCTCCTGGTCTGTGGGTTTTGGGCTTTCTTCCAGGTTGCTGCTTCTCTCATCCCTGTAGTTTTCAGTAGACTTTTGTGCCTCAGTCCTTCCGGCCCTCTTTCAGTCACTGTCTGCCTGTGCTCTTTGTGTCTCCTGTCCTTAGGCCTAATCCCCGGCCTTAGCAACCTAGCTGTCATCACCTTTGTACAGATGTATATAGGAAGCCCATTGGAATGTGTGGGTTCTCCTTCTAAGATATGAACACATGAAATCCAGTAAGGGTGAGGGGCTTGACGGCTCTGGTATCTATTCTGGGTGGATGCATTTATTCATTTCTCTGCTCCAAATCTCTGTGTTCGATGGAGCACATGATTGAGCAACCCTGAAGGTAGGAGGCTTGCAGAGAGAATCATGCATTCGGGTCTTAGTGAGGTTTGGAGACCCAGGTTTGCCATATTCATTGGCCAGAAAACTTGTCTGCCTCAGGATGGAGGGACTTCAACTCCCATAAGGCCTTGAGGTACAAGAGCCTTCAATGGTAGAGTGTGGTTGTCCATAGGACTGTTGGGAGTTGTGGTTCCTCTCTATCCAGGCCAGCGGAGGGTGGCCCTGGAGAAACCAGCAGGGGGCACATGGCTTCTGCCCTCCGAAAATGCTGGGGAGTGGGATTAGGAGTGCTCAGCCTTTGTAGTCACTGAGCTCTCCTGGTCTGTTTGATAGCCCTTCCATCTTTCGTTGCCTATATTTATAAATTGCTGCAGTAATTTAAGGAACATTTTTGAATACTTAATATGTGCTCAGCTCTGTGCTCCGTGGAAACTCTGCTTTACAGCTATCACGGAGTCTTATTCGGTACCTAGATCTCTGCCAGTATCTCTATCACTGAGCAGCTTTCTCCCACTCCGCCCCCGTCCCTCCCCCTTCTCCCCGCGCTGCTGCCGCAGTTGCCATGGTAACCAGCGACGACTGAAGTTGCGTGGCGGACTTGAGGGCAGGGCGAGGGTGGCGGAGGGTGGAGCAGAACAAATGGAGGCTGGGGGGAAAGTAGGGAAAAAATAGGGGGCATTTGGCCAGGGCTCTGGAGGCGAAGTGGTTAAGCCCTCTGAGTGGTCCTTATTGGGCAAAACTAAGATGCTGGGGCGGGGCAATGTGTCCAATAGCTTCATTCATTGGTCGACAGGGGCGTGGCGGAAGGATAGTGTGGGCGAGGCCGGGGGAGCGAATGGGCGGGAAGCGAAGGGAGGCGTGGTTTCATGGAGCAAGTGGGCGGAGTCGGCTTACTCTATCGGAGGAGGCGGGCAACAACCCTCAGAAAGGGGAGGGACTAGGTTGCCTTACCAAAACGAGGGCGGGGCTGACCTGGGAGGGGCGGGGTGTGGTTCCTTGTGGAAAGGAGACCCGGTTCGTGTGGCCGTAGTCCCAGTAACTGCGGGGTGCGGGGGTCTTTGGGAAGGAGAATCCGTGGGTTGGAGATATGACGTCTCAATTTTCCTAAGATGGAGGCCTGTTCAGATTTCATCAGAGTTACCCTCCTACCTCAGCTCTATGTTCCAGGGAGACAGTTGCTAGGCGACGGCAAAGTCCTTGATTGCTGCGTTGCCAGGCAACAGGGAAACGGAAAATGGAGGGAAAAAGGAAATGGGGGATGAAAGAGGGTCTTGATAGTCCATAGTGTCTACTGGTGGAGAAGCAGGGCCTATGTATTTTCTAGACTAAAAAGAAAAATTGAGTTCAAGCCCGTTCTGCATTGGTTCTTTCTGAGGATCCATGCATTTTATTTAGGTAGGAAACTAGGACATTGAGGGGGGGGTCATCTTGGGGGGGGCTTACCTAACAGAGGCTGATAAGTACAGGGAGGCCAATAAGTGCAGGGTTGAGAGTCTATAGAGGCTGTTAACGCCTTTTGCCCTGGGTGCGAATTTTATATTCTGTAGACAGCTGATTTGGGGAGAACCCTCATGAGAGGGGTGAACATTTGCTGGGAGGATCTCTGGGAGAGAGCTTTGCAAGTTCAGGAGTTTGGGAAAGGATAGAAGACTGAAGTGATATGGGGCAATTTAGGGTATTCTGAAAGATTTGTGGGTCACTGTAAATTGCAGTCCAGATCATTGGTGAAATTATTAATTTGAGACAAGGTCTCACTCTGTAGGCCAGGCTTGCCTGAAACTCACAGAGACCAGCCTGCCTCTGCCTCTCTAGTGCTAAAGTAATTTACTAATTTGAGCGGTAAAGAAAAGAATAGTAAATTCATGTCAGTAATCCCAGAACTTGGGACGTGGATGTTGGAGGCAGGAGGATCAGAAATTCTCAAAGTCACCCTCAGCTACATAAAGAATTTGTTACATTGAGATTCCAGCCAGAGAGAGAGAGAGAGAGAGAGAGAGAGAGAGAGAGAGAGAGAGAGAGAGTGTGTGTGATTGGAGACACAGACTGGAGCTGTAAGATGTGGGTAAAGGCATGTACTGTTAAGCCTGATAACCTTAGTTGGATCTTTGTTACTCACATGATAGAAGGAGAAGAACCAATCCCCTAGAATTGACCTCTCCATACCATACTATAGCACACACAATTGTGTGCTCACATACCGCAAAGGTAATAAAAATTTGAGTAAAAGATAAAATAATTCTTAATATAGGGCAAGAGTTGGGAATAATTTGAAGAAACTGCAATGGAATTTGGAAGGTTTGCTTTAAGGCAGATTAAATAATACTCAAAATTGGTTCTGGTGAGGTTTGGGGTTTGGTATCTTAGAAAGTCCAGCATATCATTCAGTTTAGTGATTTGGATGAGGAAACTCCAAACAAATTTGAAGAGGCTTTAGTTGGATGTCTGTGTTAGCCAAGAATACTAATACATTAATGTTAAGGTCATCACTCGTAGACTGGGGAGGGGGGACAGATAAAATGATTTAAAAGGCATATCAATTTGAGGACACATCGAAGATCTGTGCTTCTTTAATCTTGAAGAAGCATTGTCTAGTTACGGAATGGGGCTGGATAGGCTACAGGGACTCTGCCAGAGAAGCTCTGGAACCTTATGGGATGTGTACAGGAAAAAGGCTTAGGGTGGGGGCTTGTGAGCTCCCTAGGGATTCTCAGAAGTGATACACAGAAATGCTGCTGCCCCCCTCTGTAGTCTAGTAGTACAGTACCGATGAGAGACCCAGTGGGGTTTTGTAATAGAAGCCCAGTGTTTTGGGGATGGTGCAGAATTAGGTGAAATAAGGGGTCCCTGAGAACCAGAGATAAGGTGCTAATTTTACAAGTGTCAATATCTGTAGAGGGGTCGAAACAGTAGTATACCGTGGGAAGGTGAAGACAGTAAGGAAATAGCTGGAATCGAAAGAAGTTGGTAGCCAAGAGGGTCTCCCCTCACCCTTCTCTCCCATCATGACGCTCTCCCGTACTGCGCAGGCGCCGCCCCCCCTTTCCCTGGCCGCAGCCTCCTGTCGCCACGGCCGCCGCAGCCCCCGCCCCCTCGGCCCCTCCCCCTCCCCAACCCAGCACCCTTGCTATCCCACCCATACCCTCCCCTTAGTCCCCCTCCCCTTCTCCATGTCGACTCGGAACAGATTCGCCTCCATGTGTCTCTGCGTGGTACGTGCCGCGGTATGGGATCCGGCCGCTTCCCTCATCCCAGACCGCCCCCCCCAACTCCCCCATCTCAAGAGCTTCAAGTGCTGTTGCTCTTCCCTTTGCTTGGCGTGGGGTCTCTGGGTTGTAACTTCTTGATAACAGGCGCAGTGGGTTGTACCTCTTGTTATCCACTTTAACCCACACCTCTCTATTTTTGGGGTACAAGCCCCGGTTCCAGGTCATTCTGTGCAGCTGGGGCTTTGAAGGTAGGGGGAAGGAACAACAGGGCCATCATCTGAGTCCCACCCTCAGGTCTTGTCCTTATTTCAAGTCCTAATATGTTGGGGGTGCAGACTTGCCTCAGTAGCATAAAGAGTCAGTCAGGGCCCTGCATTTCAGTGGGTTATAGATGTGTCCTCCTTCCTGCTTGGTTTCAGCTGCTTTGTAATCCAGGACTGAGAGGGGTTGACCTCCCTAGCCCCATGTTTGCAGTGTCAGAGTTCTCCTACCCTGCAGAGTCCTGAGGGCTGTACAATTCCTGAGGACTGACCCTAGGCTTTAACTCTTCCAGTTACATTTTGAGAACTCTGGTTCTTCATTCTGTGGTCCTCAGTTCTCACAGTGTCAGACGTAAGTCCCTCTCCACCGTAAGGATGGAACAGGGAGATATGGGGTTCACCATGATAAAAGATCTCCTTTGGTTCTTGTCTAGAATAAATGCTTGTCTCCCTCCGCGTCTCCATTTTCTTTGGTGCGCCTGGCTGTTCCTCAGATTTAGAAGTTTCCTGTTAAGTGGGGTGACCATAAAGGGACATTGGAGTCAGGTTCTCCTCAGTCTCCAAAACTTGGGACGTGCAAGTTTTGCTCCTGCTTAATTTATCTTGCAGGAATTCAGGGCAACTCCTATTGGCATTTGTTGTCTGGGGCATTATCCCTCAGCTTGTGTGGTGGTCAGAATGGACCTGCTCGTCAGAACTGCTAAGCGACGACAGCTCAGCCTTCAAGAAGGGCTATTATGCCTGTACTCTCCTTACTTTCTTTCCTCTCTTTCTTTTAGGGGGCAGGAGAGGGTTAAAATAAGGTTCAGGCTGGTCCTGAACTCACTATGTAGCCATGGGTGACCTTGAACGTCTCAGCCCTCTACCTCTGCTTCCAGAGTACAGAGAAATTTATGCATATACTACCATGCCAGATTTTCTTCTCTATATTCTCCTTTTCCCATGCTACCAACACTGAGAGTTTAGTGTTTTTTAAATCTGTGACCCACACTTGGTGAGCCCCATTTTTCTTCTTTAAGGCTCTTCAAACACGTAGAGTGTTTTTGTTTGTTTATTTATTGAGACAGTGTCTCGCTATGTAACCCTACCTGGTCTGGAAGTTTCTATAAGACCAGGCTGGCCTCGAATTCCCAGAGATCTGCTTGCCTCTGCCTCCCAAGGACTGGGATTAAAGGCGTACACTATCACTTCAGGGTGCTGCTTAACTCTAGGCACCTCAGGGACTCAGAGTCTTGTTGACAGGACCACATGCCTCCCCCAGTTCTCTTACTATATCCTTAATCTACACTCAGCCTGATTCCTCATCCTCAGAATTTTCATAATCATACTCAGCATCAGACATCGATGGTCCTTGACTCGCTTCCTTCTTCATAGTCTTGCTACTATTGCCCTCCAGATGCTGGTACTCTCACTTTCTCAGAGACCTTGGGAGGGAAATTCTGCCCATGTGTATTAGCAGCTGTATTTTGTTTTCTCTGCTCCCCGAGGGAGATCTACATCTGGTACTCTCTCCCTTCTCTTGAGTCTGGAGTTTTGACAGTTCAGCTTCTGTGGGGCTCAACTCTGGAGAGGGCCTAGAAGGGCATAGTGGAGGCAGATGTGGAAGGAGCCAGGCTGACTTACCACCGTTCGCTGCTGCCTCTCTCTGACCCCCAGTTAATCTTATTTACTGATTTTGCTATTAAGTGGCTCTTGTTCTGGTGGCTGCCTAATTGGGAGTCATGTTGAGCCCTTTACCTCCAGAAGTCAGGGGGAGACCAGAAATTCAGTTTGAGCATTGTATTGTTTTCCTCCTTCAGGGGGCCTGACACTCATTTCTGCACCCCCCCACCCCCCGCTTCCCACCTGGGCCTTCCTGCCTCCATTCCGCTTCCTCCCCCATCCCATTCCTGTCTAGTATATCCGGATTAGCTGGCTAGCTTCTGGGGCCCCTTTGCTGAGTAATTGAGAGTGAGCGAGGCCAAAGAAGGAAGAGAGGGACAGGTTTAGCCTTGTCCTGCTCTAGGGCTACTGGTGGCAAGTATTTTCTAGCTGAAGTACCTGACTTCGGTTCCTGTTTCAGGCATGCAAGGTGCTGGAGAGCCAATTGCTTATGGGGAAGAGGATGCCATGGGGAGGCTGGGGTGCTGAGGGTAGGGTGGAGTATGGGAGTGTGGGATGTTGATGGAACAAAGAACTTGGGAATACATTAGGGTACAAGGGTCAGCTGCTAGAACTCTTAAAAGGATGGAGTGGATCAAGGCTTGCTTGGGAAAAGTATGGAGACAACGGTCAGGGTGTGAGGTAGACTGCCAGAGCCATAGGATATGAGTCGGAAGTTGGAGGATGGAGCCTGGACTTGGGTAGAGCTGAGAGGTGCTGAGGCCTTGGCTGGAGAGGGGGCTGTCGGGAGGGTGGAGAGAGGGGAGCCAATGGGCTGGAGGAGAGGGAGGGGGAGGAGTTGGTCAGGCCCCAGGGCCTTCCGCACTGCACTGCTCTGGGAAAAGGAGGCGGTCCAGGCGGGCGCCTGGAGCTAGAGGCTCTGGGCTGGCCTAGTGACGCTGCCTCGGTCCCCATCCCCAGAAATACCGCTACCAAGATGAAGACACGCCCCCTCTGGAACACAGCCCGGCCCACCTCCCCAACCAGGTAAACGCCCCCGAGCTGGTGCACGTGGCGGAGAGGAACTTGTCCCACCTCGAGGCCGTCCACGGGGTCGTGGGCCACGCCCACCTCTCCCCCCTCAAGGTAGGAGACCCTGGCGGCCCCCTCCCCAGTGCTGCCCTCGGAGCCTCGGAGCTGCAGCAAATCCCCCAAAGGGCCGGTAGGGCAAGAGTTACGGGGAAAAGATTGGGGTGGCCTGGCATCTGGGTCTTGGACTCCTGGGGCTGGGGTGGGGGTGTGTGCTTTTGGATTGGGGGTGGGAATAGACGGTGGAAACACTTTGGTCTCACAGAGGTGAAATAGGCTAGGCAAGTGGGAGTGGGTTCGGAACCTAAAGCCAGAATGTATGCCTTTGCGTATGTTTGGTGTGTTAAAGAGGATAGATGGATCCCCCAAAAGTGCCCCCAATGCCAGGGGACTCTTCATTCCTCCACACCCCCAACCCCCGCTTCAGTTTTTCTGTGTCCAGAGCTCTGTTCCAAGCTCCTGGTGCCCTCATTTGCTCTCGTCCCTTTCCCCACCTCCTCCCCCAACCTCCGCCTCTGGGCCTGGCTCTGCCTGTTCCCGAGTCTCCAGCTCTTTCCATCTGGCTGGACTGAGACTTCAAGTCTTGGTCCTTTCTGCCTCTTCCTGTGCTCCAGTCTTTGCTCCCCTCCTGTGCAACCCCCTCCCCCCTTGCTGGCTGGCTGGTTCTTGATGCTGTCTCTCTCTTCCTCCCACGCATGCTTCTCCTTCCCCCTCTCGCTGATCCCCAGCTCAGGCCACAGAGGCCTGATCAATCGTCTCCTGGTTTGAGCAGTCCTCTCTGTCTGTCCTCCAGCTCCCTATTTCTTTCCCAGTTTCCCGATTTCTGATTGTCTCTGTCTTTTTGCTTCCTGCGGGTCTCAACCTCCATCCACACCTTCTTCCGGCATCCCGTCATCATTATTATATATGTCCACCTGTTTGTTCCCCTTCCCCTCCCCCTTTGTGCTTACAGTGTGCTTTTTTCCCCTCTAGTCCCGAGAAGCCTTTTATTTCCCAGCCCACTTTCTCTTAGTCTCTTCTTTCAGAGGCACAAGCTGGGAGGTTGAGGAGGATACTGGGGGCCCAGAAGTGTGAGATGTTCTAGGAAAAGGGCCCCAGTTGCTGACATTTCACTAAGAAGAAGAGGGGTGCTTGTGAGCCAAGGGGTGAGGCAGGCCAGTGGCTAAGGCAGGAGTTGGAGGAAGGTGGGAAGGGCAAGAGTCTCGCAGCACAGAGGGTGAGACTGGAATTGGGGTTGTTCACTAAGCTGCTTGAGATCAAGGAAAATTAAGTGCATGGAGAATATTTGTGTGCAACCCCACCCCCACCCCAGGAAGTTAAAAGAAGATTCCAGATGTCTTTTGCAAGATGGGGCCATTATGTCTTGGGTGGGAAGGGGAATGAGGTTCTTGAGGGGTGGTGGTACTACAATGTTGGGGAGCGTGGTACCAGAGCTCAGGGATGAGCGGCTGGAGAGTGCCAGAGGAAGCCTCAGGTCAGGGCTTCAGCCAAGGGATGGGAGATGCCCCAATAGCCACAGAAAATGGGGAGTGGGTTGAAAGTGGAGGACTGTGATTTGGGGGATAGACTGTTAATCGGTCAAGGATGAGGTAAAGGGGAATAATGAGGCTCTCTTAGAGAGGTGGCAGGTGAGGGTAGGAGATGCTAGGGGATGGCGCTGAAGGCTGGTATGGAGACAGGGAACAGGGTGGAGAATGGTGACGGGGTGGGGGGGCTGGGGGGTTGGGAGATTTTGGAAAACTGAAGGCTGGGGACAAGGATCTAGGGAGGGTGTGGGGTGAGAGTAGAGACAGAGAATAGTTAGGGAGGGATTGGTTGAGTGTAGAGAGAGGAATTATAAGAAAGGTCTGAAGCTTGTGCCACAGAGGATGAAATTGTGGATGACTTCAGCAGCCAGTGACTATTGGCTAGACAACAGCGTTTGCTTGGAGGAGAAACTGACAGTTGATTCATGGGTATGGAATCTATTATGGGGACTGCAATGGCTGGGAGTTTCTGGGCTTGAGAAATAGCAGTAAGAGAGAAGAGAGACCTTTACAGGAGAGGGAGAGCTTAGGAAGGGGACTGGGAATCCTCATGCTTGGTCGGTTTCAAATAGTTGTCTAAGGAGGAAATAGATTGGGGACCCCCGGAAGGAGTCTCTTGGCAGCCTCACCTCATTGCCATAGAGACGTGGCTTCGGTTGCCCTGGCAATTGGGGAAGCCCCTAGGACAATTCTAAAGCTGGCCCCGCCCTGCAGTTTAGCTAGAGACCCGGCTGCGTTGAGGCCACTGACGTCAGGGACCAGGGCACGCCTCGCTTTAACCCTTTCCTTAATGAAATGGGGGCAGGGAGGAGGGGAGGCAGTAGAAGAGCAGGCTAGGTTCTGGATGCTTTTTACAATTCCTTCTTCCTGATGTTCTTTGCACTGCATAGGGTGAGGGGCTCTAAGCAGAGAGGAAGGCAGGTTATTCAGGATACACTGCGCCCACGCCCACGAATAGAATCCTGGCCTCTTGGGCTGGCTAGCGGTAGGCGGGTCTAGAGCCTGAGAGATGAGACTCATCGAGTCTTTTGCTCTAGGGAGTCTGTCGTACCCTAGGCCACGCCCCCACCCGTTGTCCTGACTACCAGGCCTCCTGGAGGTGGGTCTCCCCAGGTCTTGGCTGGTCTTAGATACTGTTGCTAGGCAACCTGGTCCCTGGAGGAAGGGGTGGATTGGATGGCGGGTGGGTGAGAGAGAGGGAGGGACCAGAAGCTGGGGAAACCCCGGATTCTCATGGCGCAAGATTTAGAGCAAATGTATGCCAAGGTGAGGGACAAATTTGGGGAAGGGTTATCAAGATATCTGGATGATTGTGAAGGTATAGAGACAGGAAAAGGACCGCAGAGGGGAGAGCAGGACTAGTGGACCTGAACCCTGGGGTGTAATGCGTAGCACGTAATGCATGTAACACCCAGTAGTGTTATATCCGGTGAGAAGCATCCCCCCCCAGCATGCCCCCCCTTTCCCACTCTTTACCATCTGCTGTTCCCCTCTCCGTCTGGCTGTCTCTCTCTTTCCTCTTCTCATATACACCTCTTTAAACATGCAGGGGCCTGTGGTGGGCAAAGTTGTGTGTGTGTGTGTGTGTGTATGTGTGTATTCGAGTGTGCATGTTTGCATAATGTAGACTGAGGTTGGGTCCTTGAGTTGCTCTGCAGGTGGCAGAGTGGGTTTGATTACGTAGCTAAAAGGGGATCCATATTGGTAGGACCCACTTTTGGTTATGGACTCCCTCTGGAGTCCAGGCTAAGGCAGCTTTTTGTCTTCTGTCTCCTCTCACAGGCCAATTCTCCTCCTGTGATTGTCAACACGGACACCCTAGAAGCCCCAGGATATGTGAGTTGTTTAGATTTTGGGACTGGGACCATAGCAGTAGTGTCTGAGAGGCGGAGGGAGTGAATCCCTATATGGGGAAGGAAGGAGGGGCGTGACCTCCAGCCAGAATGTATGTCTTACTGTTTCTGTGTTTCTGCCCGTGCTGGAGTTGCAGGTGAACGGCACAGAGGGGGAGATGGAGTATGAGGAGATCACATTGGAAAGGGTGAGCGCCAGCCTCCCCTCCCCCACCACCCCCAGGTCCTTTGGCCCGGGCTGGTGTTTCTCTTTTTGTGCCTGTGTTTCCTAGGTGTCCAGACTCTTAGCTATGTCCCTGTGTGTTGTAGCTGCACCTTTTCCATCCTGTCCCATTCCCAGTTCCGGTTTCCCTTGATGGAATTGGGCAGTAAGGGAAGCTGACCCTCTTACCTTCTTTTTGTTTTTTCCCCAGGGTAACTCAGGTCTGGGCTTCAGCATCGCAGGTGGCACTGACAACCCACACATTGGTGATGACCCATCCATTTTTATCACCAAGATCATTCCTGGTGGGGCTGCAGCCCAGGATGGCCGCCTCAGGTGGGGAGAGAAGACAGGGTTCAGGATACCCTGGAAAGGGAAGGCTGGGCAGTAGGAAGCTCCTGGCTCAGACCCATGTTGTTATTCTCAGGGTCAATGACAGCATCCTGTTTGTAAATGAAGTGGATGTCCGGGAGGTGACCCATTCAGCTGCGGTGGAGGCCCTCAAAGAGGCGGGTTCCATCGTTCGTCTCTATGTCATGCGCCGGAAACCCCCAGCTGAAAAGGTCATGGAGATCAAGCTCATCAAAGGGCCTAAAGGTAGTGCTAGTAACCCGTCTAGTTCTCACTCCTGCTTCTCCCTGCCTCCAGTGCTCGCTCCCCAGGGCCATGACAGACACTTCTCCTCGACCTATCTTCCAGGACTTGGCTTCAGCATCGCAGGGGGCGTTGGGAACCAGCATATCCCTGGAGATAACAGCATCTATGTAACAAAGATTATCGAAGGAGGTGCTGCCCACAAGGACGGCAGGTTGCAGATTGGAGATAAGATCCTGGCGGTGAGGACCTCAGTCATGTTTGTGGCCCAGAGTCAGGTCTCTTTTGCAGGCCTGGGACCCTTACTGCATGGCCATGTTTGTCTGCCATGCTCCATTTCTGGCACTGTCTGAGCCTTGCTTTTCTTGACCCCAGGTCAACAGTGTGGGGCTAGAGGACGTCATGCACGAGGATGCCGTGGCAGCCCTGAAGAACACATATGATGTTGTGTACCTAAAGGTGGCCAAGCCCAGCAATGCCTACCTGAGTGACAGCTATGCTCCCCCAGACATCACAACCTGTGAGAGCCCTCCAAACCTCAAAGCTCCTCCTGACCCACCTTAGTAATTCCTAAGACATGCAATCCTGTGATAGCCCCTGTGGCTTATTTCTGTGGAATGACCACAGCCTCTGACCCTTGTGTTGGTTGGGAAGAAGGTGGAAAATCAATCATGGAGAAGCACTAGAAATGATTGTTGATCTTCTCCTGTCCACAGGACACAGGCCCTCTTAGTTTTATGGTTCTGATCAAATCCTCAAGTAACAGATAATTCTCACATTCTTTAAAAGTGTAATGTTAGAGCTGGGCATTGGTGGTGCACACCTTTAACCCCAGCACTTGGGAGACAAACGTAGGCAAATTTCTGCGTTTGAGGCTAGCCTGATCTACAAAACAAGTTCCAGGACAGCCAGGGCTACATAGGGAAACCTTGTCTCTATACCTTTCCTCCCCAACCCCAACAACTGTAGGAAAAGAACCAGATGTGATGGGACGTACCTGCTTTTCTAACACTTGGAAGGTAGAGGCAGGAAGATCAGGAGTTCAGGGCTCTCCTGGGCTACATAGCAAGTTTGAGGCAAGCCTGGGCTACTTGAGACTATGAGAAAATAGGGAAAAAAGAGGAAAGGACAAAGGGTTTACATTTATAGAAATAGCTTACATGCTTACAAAGACATTGTGAGAGAAGAAACTTGGAGGCCAGCTGTCCTCTGGAATAGAGAGGCTTAAGTTTAGAACACCCCAGTAGGTACCCACACACTGCAGCACACGAAGAGGTAAACACTCTCACAGAAGGTTTGTTTGAGGCAAACTGAAGGTGGCTTAATATTTGAAAACCTCTCATCGTGATTCGGCATATTAAGAAGCGAGAAGGGCGATTGCGGTGGCCCACATCCATAACCCCAGCATTCTGGAGCCACAGACAGGAGGATTGGACAATCTAGGCTAGCCTGGGCTACACAGTGAGAGGAAAACCTGTCAAAAATAAAAAAGAAAGAAAGAAGATCAAGTGTACCTGTGAAAGGCAGTTAATATTCAACATCTGTTTTCAAACAAAAGCCTTCAGTCAGCCCGGGAGCAGAGGTTTTGTGACACTAGCAAGCAGCAACAGACTTTTCCCAAGAGTAAATCCCAGCAGTGAGTCCGTTAATCCAGGGATTAGGCAAGGAGGCCTCTTCCTGCGGTTACCCTCGCTGCTTTGGAGCACTTTCTCCATGTTGACGCTGCTGTCTCTTACCAGCCGAAAGTTATTCCTGGAATTTCCAATAATCAGAAAAAATTACTTAGCCAGGCAGTGGTGGTGCACACCTTGAATCCTAGCATTTGGGAGGCAGAGGCCGGCAGATCCCTGTGAATTTGAGGCTAGCCTGGTCTACAGAGTGTGTTCCAGGATAACCAGGGACATAAAGAGAAACCCTGTCTCAAAAAACCAAAACAAACAAACAAAATTACTTAGGTTTTTTTCCCCCTCAGTGGTGATAGGGATGGAACCCAGGGCCTTGTGCACACTGAACAAGTGCTTGCCACTGAATTACACCCACAGGCCTTATTGCCCTGAGTAATTTCTCCCCTAACCTTCCTTTTCTTAGTAGAGTGAACATAAATTTATTAAGAAAAGTGGGAAAGAAATCCTCAGAGTGCTCCATTTCCTTTCGGCCCCTCTTTTTTTTTTTTTTGGACAGGGCTTTTCTGTGTAGCCCCAGCCCTCTATGTAGGCCAGGCTGGCTTTAAACTTGTGCCAGTTCACTTGTGTCAGCATCCTGAGTGCTGGGATTACAGGTGTGTGTCACCACATTTGGTTTTGGAATTTTTTTATTTATAGGTTTTTTTTGTTGTTGTTGTTTCAACCCAGGGTTTCTCTGGGTAGCCCTAGCTCTCCTGAACTTACTATGTAGACCAGGCTGGCTTTGAACTCAGCTTCCCAAGTGCTAGGATTAAAGATATGTACCATCATGCCTGGCCCCATTATACCAATTCTTTTTTTTCAAATTAGAAAAAAAAAGGAGCATATTTATTTGTTTGCGTGTACTTGTGTGGATATGGACTGCCGTGGTGTGTGCAGGTCAGACAACTGGTGAAGGTCTGTTCTCTCATTCTACAATGAGGGTTCTGGGGTTCAAACCAAGGTTATCAAACTTGGTAGCAAGCACCTTAACCTATTCAGCTGTCTCACCCATCCCAGGGCTTGTCTTGGTTTGTTTTGTTCTATTTTGTCTTTTTGTTTTTGTTTTTTTTTTTTCAAGACAAGGTCTCACAAAACAACTCTGGCTGTCTTGGAACTATGTAGACCAGGCTGGGCCTTAAACTCACAGAGATTCATCTGCCTCAGCCCCCACCCCCTCCCAGTGCTGCCATGCCCAGCCAAACTTCTTCCCTTCTTTCCTCTTCTGTAAGGCTTTTTAAAAAGACTTCTTTACCTTGTTTTACATGTCTGTTCTTGTTTTGCTGGCATGTCATCCGTATATCACTTGTATGGTCTGAGTCCATGGAAGTCAGAAGTGTGTTGAGGGCTCAGGTCCCCTGGAACTGGAGTTAGAGGTGGTTTTGATCCACTGTGTGGATGCTAGGAACTGAACAGGTCTTCTGAGATAGCAGTAAGTGCTCTTAACTGCTGAGCCATTTTCTGTTCCTGGTTTCTCTGTTTTCAAATGTAATATTTACTTATTCTTTCTGTTTTATTTGACTCAAAAGAAATGTGATTCTCAACCAGGATAATTTTGCTAGAGTAAATTTGTCATGACATTTTGATTGTTATGGTTAGAATGGGGAACATGAAAGGGATACCTTTGTCATTTGATAGAGATATAAATTTGACAAGAAATTTGACAAGAAATATAACAAGTTGATGAAGAAAGGGGTTAAAAATTGTTTTTGAGACAGAGTTTCATTATGTAGCTCTGGCTGGCTTGGACCTTGTTATGTAGACCAGTTGTTATAGAGATTAGGCTAGCCTAGAACTCACAGAGATCCACCGCCACTGCCTCCTTTTTTTTTTTTAAATTTTAATTTTTTTTAATTCCCTTTTTTTAAAGATTTATTTTATTTATATGTGTACACTGTAGCTATCTTCAGACACACCAGAAGAGGGCATTGGATCTCATTACAGATGGTTGTGAGCCACCATGTGGTTGCTGGGAATTGAACTTGGGACCTCTAGAAGAGTGGTCAGTGCTCTTAACCGCTGAGCCATCTCTCAGCCTCGGCCTCCTTAGTGCTGGGTCTACAGGTGGGGCACCACCATGTCCATTGAAAATGATAGCCCCCCTCCCCAAGTCAAGGTCTCTCTGCATATCCCTGGCTGTCCTGGAACTCACTCTGTAGACCAGGCTGGCCTTACATTTAAAAGATCCATCTTTTACCTCCTAAGTGCTGGAATTAAAGGTGTGCACCCAGCAAAAGTGATAAATTTTTACTGAAGGGTATAACACAATGTTTCTAGGTGGAAAAATTTAAAGCTACTTTTAAACATTTATTTAATTTGTATGTGTGTGTGTTTTTGTGTGCTCACATGTGTGTGTGTTCACAGGCTCGAATGTCATAGTGAGTGTATAGAGATTGGAGGACCATTTTCAGGAGTCGGCCTTCTCCTTCCACCGAGTGGGTGCTGGGGATCGAACTCAAGTTGTCAGGCTTGGTTGGCAGGAATCTTTATCCTCTGAGCCTGTATGGAAAAATCTTAATATGTAAAAGATTTCAACCTTCCTCACATTATACATCTTATGGAATACTAATCAGAATTTTCGAATTTTATGTTACATCTTAAAGTTCAATTGGAAAAATGTGTGGGAGAGTAGCTAAGACATTCTTTTGGGAAAGAATGAGATATTTCCTTTATCAAATATGAAACACACACCATATTCAAATTTAATGGTACTATTTGTTTTTACTTTTTCTTTTTGAGACAAAGACTTACTATGTAGTCAGGACTGCCCTTGAGCTGGCCGTCCTCCTACCTCAGCCTCCTGGGGCTGGCATTGTAGGTGTGTTTGACCATATCCAGCTTTCTGGTACTATTTTGTTGTTGTTGTTTTGGTTTTTTTGTTTGTTCTGAGACAGGGTTTCTCTGTATAGCCCTGGCTGTCCTGGTGACTTGCTCTGTAGATCAGGCTGGCCTGGAACTCAGAGATCTTCCTGCCTTTGCTTCCAGAGTGCTGAGACTAAATGTGTGCATCATCACCATCCAGCCTCTGGTACTGTTTCTGAACTTACCAAAATTAACTTGGGTTCCTTGGGAAATGGGATGGTTTCCAGTCTTGCGCAAGAAGCATAAGACAAGAATCAGGAGGGGTAGAGTATACTTGGAATCATAGGGTTTGGGAGGTTGACATAGGGAGATTGAGATTTTAAGGAAAGCCTGGCACATAGAACCTGCCTCAAACAATGGCTGGGGATGTGTTTAGCAGGTAGAGTGCCTTCCCAGTATACATGAAGTGTTGGTTTTTATCCCCAGTGCTGGGTAAAGCTGGGTGTTATGGTACATGCTCTTAATGATCAGGAGGAGGAGGTGAAAAATCAGAAATTCAAGACTACGCAGTGAGTTTGGGGCTAGCGTAGGCTATATGAGGCCCTGTTCTTCTTTTTAAAAAATATTTATTTATTTTATGTATGTGAGTACATTGTTGCTGTCTTCAGACATACTAGAAGAGGGAATCGGATCCCATTACAGATGGTTGTGAGCCACCACGTGGTTGCTGGGAATTGAACTCAGGACCTTAGGAAAAACAGTGATTTTAACCGCTGAGCCCTCTCTCCAGCCTCAAGGCCCTGTTTTTGTTTTGTTTTGTTTTTAAATAGGGCTAGGGAGTAAAGTGCTTGCTACACAAGCATGAAGACCAGAGTCTGGGTCCCTAACACTCACATAAAAAACTGGGTGCTGTAGTGCACACCTGTCATCCTGACTCGGTGGGGTGTGCAGAGACAGATGGATTCCTGGAACTCACTGGCCAGTTAGCCTAGTCCAGTCTGTGAGTTGTAAATTCAGCTAGAGACCACGTCTCAAAAAGTGAGCCTGAGCTGGGCGTTGTGACACATGCATTTAATCCCAGCACTGGGGAGGCAGATGTCAGTGGATCTCTGTGAGTTCAAGGATAGCCTGGTCTACATAGTTCCAGGACAGTCAGAGCTAGGTAGTGAAATCCTGTATATAATCAAACAAACAAATTAATAAGGAAGGGACTCAGGATTATTAGAGTCACAGGAGCCACAGGAGTCATGTTGAAGAGGATTTTTCTGGCCTTACATAATTTATTTTATATGCAAACACATGAGGTCATGATAATACCTTTAAAAACAAGTTGGGAATCAGGCATGGCGGTGGATGTTTGTAGACCTGGGTACTCAAAGGTGTGAAGTCGGAGGCTCGATTGAGCTCAGGCAAGTCGTAAGGAACACAGTGAGATCCTTGAAAGGGAGAGACTTGAAAGTAAAACCCAAACCAAACCTGATCAAATGGACTCAGGCTGGGGAGTCATCAAGCAGTGAATGTACAGGTCGAGCAAAGCCTGGGGGTCCCATCTTCATGATAAAGTAATTTTCCCTTGTTAGCTTTGGAGGATGCTAGGTCACCTAGAGGCATATCATTTCTTCCTGGAAATGTAAATAAGGGAGAGAATCAGTCATCCACCCCCTCTCTCCTGTGTAAGCTTATCACAGAGTAAGCTCAAGGTTGCTGGGCAGCAGTTCTTGTGCGTGTGTGGGTCTGTATGTTCCCTTACTTCTTTGTTTTGAGATAGGGTCTCATTATGTCACAAGCTAGCATCAAAGTCACCTTGTAACCCGCACTGGCCTTCAGTTTGCAGCAGTCCTCCTCAGTGGAATAGTAGGCTCGAACACAGCACTCAGCAGGTAGGAGAGTCCTTTGTAAAAATCTTATTAATGAGTGTAGAGCATCAGCACCTTGCAGTCCCTGTGAGCTTCAGCTGTAGACACCGCCCTGAATGCCTGTGAGGGCTTCGCTGGACGTCTGATGGAGCGCGTTGTAATGGGCAGACCAGACAGATGTCACCAGAACCTGACAATTCTAGAAAGACAGGCAGTCAGCCCATACTTTTTCATTTCTTTTGAGACAAGGTCTTACCACGTAGCCAGGGCTAGCCTGGAACTCACTGTGCTTCTGCTGCCCCAGTGGCTCTAAAGCGTGGGTATCACACCCAGCAGACTTCCCTGCATCAGTGGGAGGCACAGGACTCCACCCTGGGCGAACATTTTTACATTGAATTTGAGCCTACTAAGCCTCTAAGATAAACCCTGGGTAAACAAAAAAGGAGCTGAGACAGGGGCATAGGTTAATCAAGACCACAGGGGAACAAGTGGACTACTATACTATCTCTCATAGAATGTGGGAAAATACTTTAGACAAATTATCCAATTTAAAAAAAAAAAAAGCCGTCTAACCAACAAACAAAAACCAAGAGTGACTGGGCAGAGGGAGAGGAATACTGTGGACTGAGAGACCCGAGAGACATTTTAACCAAAAAGTAGAAAAGCATGATGCTAATATTCCCTGTTGTCCCCATTCCTGGCATACTAAAGACATACAACCTTCAGATCTTTCCCCTTTGATGTCATCTGTAAACTTCTGACCCCTGCTGCTGCGGGTCACCCCTTTTTGCAGAATAACTCTTCAGCTGAGCCTGGCTCTGGGCTCCCTCTGGAGAGGATGGGTGGGTGGGTACCACTGTCAAAGCATTTTCATCTCATTCTCTGTCTCCCCTCAGCATATTCTCAGCACCTGGACAATGAGATCAGTCATAGCAGCTATTTGGGCACCGACTACCCCACAGCCATGACCCCCACTTCCCCTCGGCGCTACTCCCCCGTGGCCAAGGACCTGCTTGGGGAGGAAGACATTCCCCGGGAACCAAGGCGGATCGTGATCCATCGGGGCTCCACCGGCCTGGGCTTCAACATCGTGGGCGGCGAGGACGGTGAAGGCATCTTCATCTCCTTCATCCTTGCTGGAGGTCCAGCTGACCTCAGTGGGGAGCTACGGAAGGGGGACCAGATCCTGTCGGTGAGAGAGGCCTGTGCAAGGGTCTGCCCTGCTCCCCCTCCCTGAAGAAAGTTCTATGTTCTTGGGGAAGGGCTGGATGGGCTCAAGCCTGGTCCGGCTGGTCCACTCCCTGACCTGCTTAGTCCCAAGAATTATTGTCTTCCCATCCCAGGTGATAGCATCTTCTCCCCTTTCTAGGTCAATGGTGTTGACCTCCGCAATGCCAGTCATGAGCAGGCTGCCATTGCCCTGAAGAACGCGGGTCAGACAGTCACGATCATCGCTCAGTATAAACCAGAAGGTACCACGCCTGAGCTTCCCTGTCTTGTTGGCTAATTCGGTCCTCAGCATAGTCTCTTTTGCTGATGGATGGTCTCAGTAGGGGTAGGGTGGGGGTTGATGGGATGTGGCATTAGGGATAGGACACAGTTCCAGAACCTTCTTGTCCTTCCTCAGAGTATAGTCGATTCGAGGCCAAGATCCATGATCTTCGGGAACAGCTTATGAATAGTAGCCTGGGCTCAGGGACTGCATCCCTACGAAGCAACCCCAAGAGGGGCTTCTATATCAGGTAACAAGCTTCCTGGGCATGACTCTGGAGGCCTCCATGAACTTGTGTCCATTCCCCACTTAGCTCCTCCCCTAAATCCTGCCCTTCTACTCTCCCACCCCGACGTGACACTTAGCCAGGGGTTCATAGACTTGGCCACACACACTGGTCTTCTGGAATATATCATCTGGTTGAAACAGTGCCTGCCCCAAGTGTCTGCATTGCCTTCTGGGCCCTGGTCACCCAAGCATGTTCCCAGTGTCTCTCATGGTAGGAATTAAGGCCAGCGCATGACGCAGCAGGCATCTCTAGCTCCCTCCCTCCCTCCCTCCCTCCTTTCCTCCCTCCCTCCCTCCCTCCCTCCCTCACTCCTTCCCTCCCTCCCTCTCTCCCTCCCTTCCTCGTTGCCTAGGCTGAGTTTGAACCCCTGTGCTTTAATAATCTTCCTGCCGTAGACTACAGGCACTTGTCACCATGCCCAGCTTTGGGATATTTTGAGTCTTCCTCCAGCTTGGCATCCTTGTGGGATGCCTGAGTGGAAGGACGACAGCTCCTCTGTGCCCGCCTCCTGTCTTTCTTACTTCTTGTCCCCCCCACCCCCCACCCCGATGCTAGGGATTGAATCCAGGGCTCCAGGCATGTTAGGCAAGCACTGAAACCACTGTTGGAAATCCACCTCAGCTCACCTCCTGACCACTCAGCAGTGTTTGCTCCCCCTTCCCGGGGCTTCCTTTCTCATGAGTCCCCTTCCTGTCTCCTCACAAGTCACCGAGGTCTCATTCCTTCCCTTCCCTGCTCCTCTCCTTCATCTGTTTCCTTTGGGTGGCTGGCCTTATCTGCTCTCTGCTGTACAGGTGTCCCCTAGAGCTGTGTGGCCTGGTGTGATGCCTTCTTGGAGGTTCCAGCTAATTGTGGCTGTTGCTTTTCGGCCATCTCCATTGGGTTGTCCACAGGCATGTCACAGCCAACATGTCCTAGACACAGCTTGCTGTGTTTCTCCTAGATGCTTGTGTTACTTCTTAGGGGCCCACACCTAAGCTCTCCCTCCCTGTAGGAGGCTAGTAGGTCCCTGGGGTCGTTCAGTTCTCACTGCTGGGTGATACTACATGACCCTCGGGGCTTTTCTCCTCAGCCCCACTGCTTTTCTCCATTAGGAAACTTCCCAGAGCTTTTTGTCCTTAGGCAGACTGGGGATTGCTTTGTGTGGGCCACCGGCCATTCACGACTTGCTTCAGATCCCTTGTCTGGCATATGGCTGGCTCTGGGGGTGCCTGGTACATCCTTCCTGGGGTCCTCAGCCAGACCCTGACCCACAGTCACTTGTGCTACAGGGCCCTGTTTGACTACGACAAGACCAAGGACTGCGGTTTCTTGAGCCAGGCCCTGAGCTTCCGCTTTGGGGATGTGCTTCATGTAATTGATGCTAGCGATGAGGAGTGGTGGCAAGCGCGGCGGGTCCACTCTGACAGTGAGACCGATGACATTGGCTTCATTCCCAGCAAACGGCGGTGAGGCTCCTAGGGACCTCCCAAGTCCACATGGTCTCCCAGGGTGGGCGTTCAGTAGAGGACTCTTGGGAATCTGCTAGGCCCTCTGGGGACCATGGCTCCCATCAACCTCTGGGAGAGAACTTCTCCATGAGGGACATAGGGCCCAGGTTCTGCTGGAAGGTGGCATTCCCACCTGGTCCAGAGGGTGGGGACCTCACCAAGCATTTCCCTACTATTTCCTGCTCTTCCTCCATGTATCCCATAGGGTTGAGCGACGAGAGTGGTCAAGGTTAAAGGCCAAGGTAGGTGATGAACTTGGTGGAGAAGCGGTAGGGGCGGCCTCTGAGCTAAACCCTGAGCCTACCACAAGGATTGCTTTTTCTTCTAGGACTGGGGCTCCAGCTCTGGATCACAGGGTAGGTAGGGTTAATCGGAAAGCTGTGGGGTGAGCTGAGCGTGGAGTTCCCCTTGACATTCTTGGGGAAAGCAGGCGAGATGGTCTCCAGGTCACCTGCCTTGGAGAGCCCCTTGCAGACGCCCTGTCCCCTCCCAGGTCGAGAAGACTCGGTTCTGAGCTATGAGACAGTGACGCAGATGGAAGGTGAGCCCTGGCCCTAGCCTCAGCCCTCCTGCCTGCCTGCTTTGCTTGCTGCCTGAGCCAAACCCTCTCTCCCCAGTGCACTATGCTCGCCCCATCATCATCCTTGGGCCCACCAAAGACCGTGCCAATGATGATCTTCTCTCCGAGTTCCCCGACAAGTTTGGATCCTGTGTCCCTCGTGAGTATGGGGACCTTGGATCTCTATGGAGTTGGAGTTGGGGGACCCAAGGAGTCTCACTTTGTCAGGGCCATGACACTGGAGTAAAGCGGGACACATCACTTTAGACGAGGGGTTCTGCCCACCTGCTTTTGTGTCTGCAGCAGACAAGCCTGGGCCAGAGCCTGGCAGGCCCCAGGGTGGCAGTTCTGTCCCACCTTTTCGTCTCAGTCTCTTTGGGTACTCTAGGGGGCTGGCTGATATAGGCTGGTGTTAAGGAGTGGTGGTTAGATCTTTGTGGGGCGGGGTGACTTCTTGGCAGATACGACACGTCCTAAGCGGGAATATGAGATAGACGGCCGGGATTACCACTTTGTCTCCTCCCGGGAGAAAATGGAGAAGGACATTCAGGCGCACAAGTTCATTGAGGCTGGCCAGTACAACAGCCACCTCTACGGGACCAGCGTCCAGTCTGTGCGAGAGGTAGCAGAGCAGGTAAGAGCTGGTGGGCACGTCATCCTCTTCCTCCTGCCCGCTCCCTACCCCATGGCCTCCTCCAGCTCTCTCTAACTCTCTTTCTCTCTGTCTCTTTCCCTGCTGGGTCTGCACTCCGCTCCTCCACCTTCTTCTCCTCTTGGGCAACTCTGACCGCCTGCTCTTCTGTGGCCTGCTCCCCTTGCTTCCTGACCCCGTGCCCCCCCCCTCCCGCCATCTGTCCCTGTCTCTCCTACTTCTCCCTCCTTGCCCCGTTTCTCTTTTCCTCCTGGGCCTTTGCCTTTGGTGACTTTGCCTTCCCCAACTTGTTCCTTTCTTTTTTCCTGACTCCCCTCTCCCTTTTTAATGGGGGGTCCCTACTACCCTCTCTCCCATCTCTCCTTTATCCCTTTTCCCCTAATGCTCCCCACACTGCCTGTCCTCCCTCTGTGGCTCTTTTCTCCATCTGCCTCCCCTCCCTCCCATCTGTCTCTCCAATTCCTTCCATCTGTCTGTCCTCTGTCTGTCCTCCCCTCCTCCTCCCTCTATCCTAATTCTGTTATCCCTTCCCTTCACTGTCTTTCCCTGCCTGTCTGGCTCTGCCTTCTGCACCCCACCTCCACCGCCCCTCTCACCTTTGCTCTGCTTTCATCTTTTGGGTCCTCTCTGTCTCCTACACTCTGTCTCCCCCCTTCCCTGCCCTCCTGTGCGTGGCCTTCCATCTTCCTGTCTCCCCTCCTCTCTATTGGTCACTCTCTCCATTCCTTTTTCTTTTCTCTTGCCTACATGTCCTTTGGCATCTGTCACTTCCCCCTTTGGCCAACCTCCCGCCCCCACCTTTCTATATGCTGCGTCTCTTCCTGGCACCTCTGTCTGTCCTTTCCTGCTACCTGCTGGTCCCCCTCCGCCTACCCTGCCTGCCCCCAGGGGAAGCACTGCATCCTCGATGTCTCGGCCAATGCCGTGCGGCGGCTGCAGGCGGCCCACCTGCACCCTATCGCCATCTTCATCCGTCCCCGCTCCCTGGAGAATGTGCTGTAAGTATGGTCCTGGGGGCTCCCCCTCTGCTCCCTCCTCCTGTGACCCTGGGCTCTCAAGGTCCCTCACCTTGATCTATCCTCTTAGAACCCTGGACAGCAATTCCCACAGTGTTCAAAGAGCTGCATTCAGGGCTAGAAACAATGGCCGGCCTTTCCCTCTTCTGCCTTGGGTTAGGCAGGCCTACCTGGTTCTCAGTAGACCCCTGGGGCATACACAGTCTGGGGCCAACCAGAACCTCTGAGGCAGCTAAGAGTTACAACTAGAGGCTGGAAGGATGAGTTTCAGAGGCCCTGGATGGGGTGGGTTGCTGTGAGCTCATCTGTAGCCTCGGAGGGTATCAGAAACTATTGTTTGCTGTGTGCTCCAGCTGTGAGAGAAGTTGCAATCTAGCCTGCCAGGAAGGAAGTGAAACTGCAGAGAGGGGCCCACCCCTCACATCTGTATCTTCCTCCCTTTTGACAGAGAGATCAATAAGCGGATCACAGAGGAGCAAGCCCGGAAAGCCTTCGACAGAGCCACAAAACTGGAGCAGGAGTTCACAGAGTGCTTCTCAGGTGAGAGGCCAGCCGCTCCCTCGGGCTGCGAGGACAGGGTGTGCAGACTTGGCGGAGCTGCTGCACTGGGTGTGGATGGTGTGGGAAGAGGGGTCCTGTCGGTGGGCTCAGGGACCCATGGCTCCTGGCTGAAGGAGTGGGAGGTACTCCTTGCTTTGGGCTCCTTGGTCACTCGTCTTTGGGACCTTGGCCTCACTCGCTGCTCCACCTGACTTGCAGCCATCGTAGAGGGCGACAGCTTTGAAGAGATCTATCACAAAGTGAAACGTGTCATCGAAGACCTCTCAGGCCCCTACATCTGGGTCCCAGCCCGAGAGAGACTCTGATTCCTGCCCTGGCCTGGCCTGGACTCACCCTGCCTCCACCACCTGGGCCCTTGGTCTGGACTGAATAGCCCAAGCCCTTCTTACCCCAGCCTCCCTTCCTACCCTTCTTATTTATTTCCTTTCTGACTGGATCGAGCCCATTGGAGGGGGGACACTCCTCTGCATGTATCCCTGCACCCCAGATCAGGGCCCCTAGACCCCAGGAACCTGGGGTCTGGGGGGAGGAGCTGGGCTCCTGGTTCCGAGCCCTTGCTCCTTAGGACCCCTACCCCCTCGACCGCCCCCATGCACACACAGACCCACTGGGGGCCTCTGCCCTCCCCATTTTCTCCCACACACATTCCAGAAGTCAGGGCCCCTCTCAAGGAGAACCCGCTGTAGGGATGCAGGGCCGCAGGCTTCCGCACTCTCCAGAGGCAGGGGCTGGGGTCACCCCTGCCCCGTCATAGCTCCCCACGCCGTTTGAGTTCTCATTTATTTTCTCCATTTTTTTCTTCTCAAAGGTGGTTTTTGGGGGGAGAAGTAGGGGGCCCTCCTGAGGGTCCTCCATCTTTCACACACCTCCCACCTTTTTTCTTTGCCGGTTTGCATGAGTGGAAGGTCTAACTGTGGCTTTTTTTTTTCTGGGATTTTATTTTCTTTCTTTTTTTTCTTTTTCTTTTTTTTTTGGGGGGAAAAGGGGAGGGATGGGTCGAGGGAGTGGGGAATATGGGAGGGGGTGGGGGGCACGGGGTCAAGGGTTGGGTGTCCGGGAGCCAGGGGAGGACAGGAAATGCTGCCGCCTTCTGCAATTTATTTATTTTTTTCTTTTGAGAGAGTGAAAGGAAGAGACAGACACTTGAAACCCCGTGTGTGGCCTGGTTCTTTGGGGTGAGGGAGGGAAGTGGAGAGAGAGACCCAGGTCGGGGCCTGGGATGGCTGGCTCTGAGAACTTCAGATCCTTCCTTACCTCACAGAGAATAGGGTGCCTAAAAGGGTTCTGGGGAGGGATTACCAGACTGAGGCAGACAGAGAAGGTGATGACGAGCCTGGGAAAAGCTGGAGCTGTGCTAGTCCCTGGCAGACTTGCTGTCGATTTCTGCAAGCTCAGTCTGGCCCTGACCACTCTTCTAGCTGCATCCCCATTGACAGCACATTCATACCTAAAGAAAAATGCAGAAGCTCCTCGGCTTACAGTAGGTTGAAAAAGACCTATGTCTAAAACTGTACAGAATGTACAAATCTAATATACCTAACTGGCTGGACATTAGGGTGCAGCTCCATCCACCTTAAAGAGCTCAGAGCATAGGCCCATGGTTGGGCAAAGCCTGTTGAGTCATCAAGTACTGAACAGCTCAGGTGACAGCCTGGCAGCTGAAGCCACGGCTGCTCAGCAGCAGGAGCCACTCAGTACATCTCTGGCCCCTAAAAAGATAGAAGAAAAAAATCCAGTTATGCAGGCATATGCCTGTAATCCCAGCGTTTAGAAAGCTGAAGCAAGAGAATTGGGAGTTCAGGGTTAGCCTAGGCTATCTAGCCTGAGCTTCAGAATGAAGTTACTTTAAAAAGTCAAACAAAATGCAACAAAAACAAAAAAGTAGTTTTTACCGAATGTATATTTCTTGATGTTGTTTCAAAGCAGAAAAACTCTAGGTTGACCCATTAAAGATGGGTCTGCATAGAGGAAACGTTCTTTGTTATATTTATGGGGTTGTGGACAGAATCTTTTTTTGTCTATTTGTTTGTTTTATTTTTTATTTTCCAGACCTTGTTTCTCTATGAAACTGTCCTGGAACTCACACTGTAGAAGAGGTTGGCCTTGAATCTGCCTGCCTCTGCCTCCCAAGTGCTGGGACTAAAAGCGTCACCACCACTGAGTGGTGTAGACAGATCTTTTCAAGAGTTTGCTGGCTGAGGGATGCCGTATGAATAGTTACGTTGGGTTTCTTTGTGTGCCACTTAGGAGGATTTGAGGAGTCTTGGCAAATATTGTGGCTAAGATAACAGAAATGTGACCCCAGATAGAAAAGCTGGAGAAATGAAGATGAACATTTAATTTCAGAACTTGGCAGATAAGCTACTTGCTGGCACCAACCAGCTGTGATACCATCCCCGAGTCTGTCTGATTGTCAGGGAAACCCTCCCCCCGACCCCCATGCACAATAGAAGGCTCAGGTGGGAGGTCCTATCAGTTCTTAAATCCTCAACTGCAAAAGGACAGTTTCTGTAGCTGTCCCTGAGCAAAAATGAGAGATGGCTGTAAAGACCAACCTAGAAGAAGTGATTCTAGGGAGGACATGCCATCCAGCAGTCAAAGCAGAGGTCACTGGACTGCTGGCTGTCATGTAAACCCATGACTCTCTGGATTGCCCAGGGCAATTGTCCATGTAGCACCGTGACCCACGAGTCTGAGGATGTGGGACCCAGGGGTCTGAACGCCGGGGAAAGCCCCCATGGTTCTGACATCTTGGTGCTTTAGAGGTACTTTCAGGTAATTCTCTTAGCTTGGTTCTGTGTGGGATGAGGCTGTGCTGATGTTCCTGTTAGGAGCCAAAAGGAGACGTCAAGGAGCCAGGGCAGGTGTCCTAATGAGTCTGGGTCCAAGGAGTCGAGGAGCCTTTACCTGGAAGGGGTACATCTCCCAGCTTTGTTTCTTTGTTACAAAGTTTCCCAGACTGGCCTTGAACTTGTCATCTTGCTACAGCGTCCTGAGCGCCGGGATTACAAATGTTCACCACCACACGAGGCTCAAAGTCTGCATTATTAATACTGCTTTTAATTAAAAAAATTAAATTCATTTGTGTGTGTGTCTATGCAGTGTATGCCACATGTTTGTGGATGCCCCAGGAGAGCAGACAAGAGTGTTGGGTTCCCTGGAGCAGGATTACAGATGCTTGTGTGGGTGCTGGGACCCGAACTGGGGTCCTCTAGCTGGGTGCTCTTAACCACCGATCTACCTCTTCAGCCTCTGTTGTTTTGTTGTTGTTTTTTTTTTTCCTTTTTCAATTGCTTCTTAGATTGTGTGTGTGTGTGTGTGTGTATGTGTGTGTTCATGGGCACTCATGCACAAGTGTGTGCAGACTAGCATGCATGTGTGCACACACCAAGGTATATGTGTGGGGGTCAGGGGCCAACTTGGAGGAGAAGACTTTCTGTTTTTACTATATATGTTCCAAGGATCAACTCAGGTTTCCAGCCTGGGTGGCTAGTATTAATGAGGTGGCAAATCCCACTGACTATTGTTTTATTTTACTATTTTTTAGGGGGAGGGTCTCAGGTTCCCAGCCTGGTCTCAAACTTGTTATATAGGCAAGGATGACATTTAACTCCTGATCCTCCTGCCTCTACCTCCCAGGTGTTGGGATCGCAGGAATCTACCATCATCCCTGCCTTCTGTTATTTTTTAAGCGACGTGAACGATCTGTGGACCTGACAAATTTGCACATCTAGAAATTAATGTGGTTAAAAAAAAAGTTGCCTCCTCATCTGAGGGAGCGTGGTTAGCAGTGTGAAGTATGTTGTTTCAAGTCTACGGAAAATGTTTCCCTGTGTTCCCTCACCAAACCTAGGGCCATGGGCTGGGCAGATGCTCTACTACTGAATTGTGTCCTCAATTCCTTTGGACCCTTGAGGCAAATTGAAAAAAAATTTTTTTTGAGACAGGATCTATGTGTAGCTCTCTGGCTTTTCTGGAACCCATTATGTAGACCAAACTGGCCTTGGACTCAGAGATCCACCTGATTTGCTGAGATTAAAGGCATGCATCTCTGTTCTTGGCACCAGATTGAAAATGTTTTAATCTTTTTTTTTTTTTGGTTTTTCGAGACAGGGTTTCTCTGTGTAGCCCTGGCTGTCCTGGAACTCACTCTGTAGACCAGGCTAGCCTCGAACTCTCGAACTCAGAAATCCACCTGTCTCTGCCTCCCAAGTGCTGGGATTAAAGGCGTATGCCACCACCGCCCGGCGAAAATGTTTTAATCTAAAAATTCTAAAAAGATTTATTTAATTCTATAAAAGATTTATACACTTTACATCTAAGTGTGTATGTACACTGTAGCTGTCTTCAGACACACCAGAAGAGGGCATTGGATTCCATTACAGATGGTTGTGAGCCACCATGTGGTTGCTCGGAATTGAACTCAGGACCTCTGGAAGAGCAGACAGTACTCTTAACCTCTGAGCCATCTCTTCAGCCCCTAATTTAAGATTCTTATGTGTGGGGCTGGAGTGATGGCTTAGAGGTTAAGAACATGTATTGGTCTTGCAGAGGATCCAAGTTCAATTCCCAGTACTCATATGGTGCATCACAACTGTCTATAATTTTAGGTCCAGGAGATCCAACAGGCATGCACACAGTAAACATACATGCATGCAGGCAAAAATTCATATGCACAGTAAAATAAATAAATTAAAAAAATAAAAAGTTTATGTGTGTGAGTGTTTTGCCTGCATGTATGGCTGGGTACTGTGTGTGTGTAAGGTTCCCTCAGAGGCCAGGAGAGGGTGCCAGGTCCCTGGCATTGGAATTATAGATGGTTGTGAGCCACCACTACTGCCATGAGTCAAACCCAAGTCCTCTGTAAGAACAGCTGGTGTTCTAAACCATTGAGCCACCTCTCCAGCCCTAGAAGGCAGAGAAGAGACCCAAACTCCTAAATTGACCTGGATTCAAACCCTGGCTTCTCTTTCCTTACCCTCTTTATGTTTTTCACCAAATCCTCATTGGTTCTTCTTTTGGTGCCAGCGTATGTTTTATATCCCCAGTTTCAGGGAACTTGGGTCCATCAGTGGGAATGAAAAAACAAACAAACAAACTCAGAATGAAAACAGATACAGATAATTAAGATCGATGAGTGCTATTAAGTAAATAAAGTGGCTGTTGGACATCTGTCCAGGGCTAGTTTGGCCATGTGGCCTCCCTTGGAGCAATGCTGTACTGAAGCAAAGACAGGTGGCAGAGTGTGCCTAAGAGAACGTCAACAAGTAGGGTTTAGATGTGGAGGGCACAGAGCAGAGCAGGATGGAGGGAAGCAAGCAGGATCCGGCTCACAGGCCTTTACAGGCATTCTAGCCCAAGTGCCATGGGAAGCTGTCAAAGGGGCTGGAGAGATGGCTCAGGGAGAAAAGGTGTGTGTTGCCAAGCCTGATGACATGAGTTCAAGTCCTCGTAGGGGACCCATATGGTGGAAGGAAAGAAATTGTCCACTGACCTCTGCATGCTCACACCCACACGATAAATGTTAAAAAACCAAAACAACGAACAAAAAGAGAAGCTATCAGAGTGGCAGGATTCTATTTTGGCAAGAAGGCTCTCAGTGCCAGGAGCGAGCATACAGTAGGGGGCGATAGAGAACCTAGAGGTAGTTGCCTGCATCGATAAGAGAGTGTCTTTGTCCCTTCTTTGGGCAAGAAGCCTAAGCTCTCAGCCTGTTTCCCTACCTGTAAAGCAGCAGCAATAACTGCCTCCCTTACTGTGTCCTTAAGAGGAATACACACAGTGCTTATAAAGCCCTTAGCTCTGAATGTGGTGCGCAGTAGGAAGTGGTCACGTGGTACGTGATCAGCCCCGAGTCTCTTTACTTATTGGATAAATCTGCACGTTACATAAAACCCAAAGCATTTGGTATTTTAAAACATTTTCTTAAATCGTCATCCTCTGAAAGGAAAGAGACAGAAAGATTTGGGCCACAGAACTCCAATTGCTCTAGGGCTGCAAACTTGGGGTGTACCTGAGTTGGAAAGGGTGACATTGGGTGAGGGCAAGGAGGAGTGGAGAGGGACCCTGCGGGACTAAGATAGCTTATGTTTCTTTTGTCTCCAAAGGAGACACTAAGGCCCCTGAGGAGGTGTCGGCTCCAACCGTACAGCTGGTGCAGGGGTGCTTCTCCTGGCCCTGGCTGTCCCTCTCTTCCCTCAGCTTTAACCCAACCACACGGCTCTCTGGCTTAAGCTCAGCCCTGGCTCTACCCAACTGTTGCCAGCTATGAGGCTCACAGGAACTCAGTGCAGGGTCACCTCATCTCGAGATCTTCTGGAGTCCAAGGGCACTGAGGGGTCTGACATATAGTACCTGTTGTCTAAGTCTAGGGCAAGGTCAAGGTAGCGTCACCATACATTGACCTTGAAAGGCAGATCAGGATGGAGGTCTCTTTTGTGAAACAGGAGGGGCTATCTGAGCTCGGACATTGTGTTTCCAGGCTCCAACTTTGCTCTCTGTAGTGCGCAGAGCCCCTGGATCTGTTACGTGGATCCCCACAAACTTTCTTGACATGAGAGTTCTAACCCATGGAGGTTTGAATGAGAATGTCCCCATAGGCTCGTAGATTTGAATGCTTCATCCTGAGTCGATGGGACAGTTTTGGGAAGAATTAGGAGGTGTGCCCTTGTTAGGGGAGGTGTGTCACCGGGGACAGGCTTTGAGGTCTAAAAATCCCACCTAGTCTTGCTCTGTCTTCTGTTTGTGGATCAGATGTGAGCTCCCTCCCAGCTGCTACTCCAGCACCACGTCTGCCTGCCACCATCATACTCCTCCATGTTGGCCACGGGCTCATCCTCTGAAACTATAAGCAAGCCCCTAATGAAATGCTTTATTGACTTATTTCAATAAGTTACCTTAGTCATGGTGTCTCTTCACTGCAAGAGAAAAGTAACCAAGATACAATCCAATTCTTGCTGGGCTGCTAGTGAGAAGAAATCAGCACTCAGCACACAGCACTCAGCCCACAGCCACAGCACTCAACTCAGCACACAGCACTCAGCACACAGTCTCAGCACACAGCCCTCAGCACACAGCACTCAGCATTCAGCACACAGCACTCAGCCCTCAGCACTTAGCAGACAGCACACAGCCCTCAGCACTCAGCACACAGCACTCAACTCAGCACACAGCACTCAGCACACAGTCTCAGCACACAGCCCTCAGCACACAGCCCTCAGCATTCAGCACACAGCACTCAGCACTCAGCACTTAGCACACAGCACACAGCCCTCAGCACACAGCACTCAGCACACAGCACTCAGCACTCAGCACACAGCACTCAGCACTCAGCACACAGCACTCAGCA